TCAACCTTTAATAGGGTTTTATCTGGCTCTACACCCTAACGCTTAACCACTACACTAAATAACTGACTAGTAACTACACTTTTCCCCACAGTCCTTTGCCATTTCCTGAGTACACAACTGGTGAATGAATTTGGTGTGGAACAGCAGTTGGAGTTAAAAGATCCAGAATAGCACCTTCAATGCCAAGTCCTTTTTTGTTTCTGTTTACTCCATCTTTTAAAGGAAGGTCTACAGTTGAAATGGGGTCTATCAGATACTGGTATAGATCCTTGCCAGAATCGTCTGGGTCCAAAGGAAGAGAAAAGGGATAAATTTAGGTTGTATATTTACTTAACCAGCTGAGATCCAACAGACTGGAGGGAGTAAAGAGGTGCACACTTTTCTTTGAAGATATAATTTTTTGTTTTGATCAGCAACTGGAAATTAACCAGGATAGGGTTCTATTTCTGTGCGTAAACCAGGACACATTAAATCTAAAGGGCGCACCATCTAAAAAAGAAATTATAAGCTTTTATTTCATGGCTTTTGGTCCTTGGAAGAACTGGCTGCTGATTCACCGAGTTCTGTTTTGACACTGTGTTTTCTATTAATTCTGAGAAATGTTATGACTACCAAAAACTTGCACTTATCACAAGGCTGTCATTGAAGAGATAATAAAATTAAATCATCACCATGATCATCCCCATTTCACAAGTAGGGGAAAAGTAATTTGAAGAAATTGTCCAATGACACATGTAGTATGTATAGATGGTGGAGTCAGCATTTGAATCCATGGCTTGTGCACACTAAAGTCAAATGAATTGTTTCCATTACATCATGTGGACTATTTAATATTCCTTTCATACACATCTTCAGTACATATCTGTTGAACTTAATTAATGTTTTATTCATGTACAATGATCACTCTCATAATGGAAATGAAGACACTGAAGCTCATTGAAATTATTCAAACAAAGGTATGGGCACAACAATAACAACAGTTAACACCTGGCAATTAACATGCCAGATACTGTTCTAAGTAAATTTTATCTTATTTAATCCTAATACAACCTGAGAGAGACTTGATTAAACATCTCCACTTTAAAAATGAGAAACTGAGGTACAAAGTTAAGTAGATGGTCAAAGACCATGCATCTGGTAAGTGGTGGAATCAGAGATTTGAACTCAGGCAGTTTGGCTCTGAATTTAAAATCACCATGCTATACTATTCTTCATTAGAATTTTAGAACTGAAAAGGACTTTATCACTTTATATAGGCAAAAATCTCTCATTCTATAGGAGAGGAACTGGAGAATAAGAAAAATAAAACAACATGCTTAAGGGTCAGTCTCTCGTTTATCAGCAGAGCTAACTAGAAACCAACTATGCTGAAGTAACATAGACATATCTTGTACTATTCTTTCATTGTGTTAGCTCTTGTCTGGCATTTTAGAAAGGACAGCAAGAACTGTCTGCACACAGCACACAGTGGTTGTTCAATAAATGGTCAAATGATGGTCACATAATGGCAAAGCAAGAACCAGAAACCATAGCAAAGCCAAAGTGGTCTTACTAAATCATGCTGCTCTTTCTCTTAGATAGTAAAACAAATGCTATAAAATGCAAGTTATTCACACCTGTATTTTTCTTGGCACATGGATTATATCCATACTTCTGGAAAAACTCTCTTATTTTTATGATGTCCACTGAGTTTTTTCTCATCAGTACTTTTGCTGCCTTTATGAAACCAGTGCTTTCTTGACTTTCCAATCTTGCTTTATCAAGAAGAATACTGACATTACCCTTTTAGGAGGAAAGAAAGTACATTATAGTTTCTCTAACTTTTGATTAAGTTTATTTAGATTTTTAAAATGACCACATAAAAATAATAAATTAATATTGTAGGAGTGATACCTTTAGAGTCCGAACTTCTGAATGAAGGTCATGTAAAATTCTCATTGCATAACCTTCAAAGTCTTCAATATGAATATTGAAAGGAAAAAGTGCAATAAGGAAAAGAAGGGGGAAAAATAGAAAATATAATTTAGTGTATTTTTTAGAATTATAAAATCCTTGAAGATATTTATAATTTATATCCTGTTAATTACAAAGAAAAGTGTTAAGACTTTCTTTAAAATTGTAATTAAACTGTAACAGACACACAGAAAAGTACAGAAATCCTAGGTATATAGCTTGATGAACTTTCAAAGTAAATAACTACATAATTAGCACTCAGACCAAGAAGGGAGGGATGGAGAAGAGGAGGTGGGAACATGGTCCTACTGAGCAATCTTCTCCTATATGGAGAGCACTTTTTGATTTCTATTTTAAAAACCTTCTTTACTGACAACATTGTTTTCTTCTAAAAGCTTTATTGCTTTCCTTCATATTTACAGAGAGGTAAAGATCAAGATCCATTCTTTTTTCCATTTACTGAAGAGACATCCTTTACCCACTGTACTGTTACCTTTCTTATTAATCAGATGGTCATATATATAAAATAAAAGCAGTTTTTAAAAGAATTCTATTTCTCTTTCCTAAAACACGTCTCTTTGAAGATCTCCTTCTGCCTGTTAAAATTCAACCAATTTTCTGCCTGGCCAGCATGGCTCAGTTGGTTGACCCATGAACCAAGAGGTCACTGGTTAGATTCCCAGTCAGGACACACGCCTAGGTTTCGGGCTCTATCTCCAGTAGGAGGTGTGCAGGAGGCAGCCGATCGGTGTTTCTTTCTCATTAATATTTCTATCTCTCCCTCTCCCTTCTTCTCTTTCTAAAATCAATAAAAGCATTAAAAAAAAAAAAAAGTCAACCAATTTTCATTAGGGAAATGCAAATATACACTAGGATGTCTGCAATAAAAAAGAGAATATAACAAACGTTGATGAGGATGGAAGAAACTGCAATCTCCGTTCATTGCTGGTGGAACTATACAATGGGGCATTTACTTTGGGAAACAAGTTCCTCACAAAGTTAGACACAGGGTTACCCAGCAATTCATTTCCAAGAGTATACTCAAGAGAACTGAAAACATTATGGTCACCCAAAAACTTGCACATGAATATAAAATGAATTATTGATATACACTGACATGGATGACCCTTGCAACATGATGCTAAGTGAAGTTAGCCACAAAAGATCACATATTGAAAGATCACATATTGTATGATTCCCATTTATATGAAATGTCCAGAATAGGCATATCTATAAAGAAAGAAGGTAGATTAGTGTTTGCATAAGGCTAGTGTGGTAGGTAGAGGTGGGCTTGTGAGCTGCTAACAATCACAGGGGTTCCTTTTGGGGGTGATAAAAATCTAAACTTATTGTGATGATGGTTGTACAACTCTGTGAATATTCTAAAAGCCATTGAATTGCATCCTTTAAATGGCCAATTTTATGGTATGTGAATTACATCTCAATAGGAATGTTTAAAAGTCAACCAATTTAATGACATCAATGTGATAATAAAAGGTAAAAAATTTTTGTGATCATATTCTCTAATGTTCACAATTCCATATTTTCTGTAATACATATGGGGCCTGGATTAAAAAAAAATTATTCCAACTTTTTCTTGTAAAACCAAAAGAAAATGCAGAACTTGTGTACACAGATAATATGTTGGTAAGAAGGTAAATTTGCAGAAGCTTTACGGAAAGCAATTCAGCTACATATCAAGAATTTTAAAATGTGGCCCTGGTTAGGTAGCTCAGTTGGTTAGAGCATCCTCACAATATGCCAAGGCTGTGGTTCCATCCACAGTCAGGGCACATACAGGAAACAACAATGAATGCATAAATGAGTAGAATGGCAGATCAGGTGTTTTCTCTCTGCCCCCTTCCTCCCTCTAAAACCAATCAATAAAATTTTTTTAAAAGAATTAAAAAATGCTAATTTAGCAAGTTTTTGTCTTATAGCTTTATCTCAACTATGCAAAAAAAAAATCAAGGAAAAACAAAGCAACTCTTAAAAAAAGAACGATAGAAAAGCTACTGAAACACAGAGTGGCGTCCTCTGATGGTGCAGTTACAGGGCATATTATTTCTTCTATTTTTCCATTATCTCAAAATTTTGCAATGCACATATACAGGTAAGTTTTTACAGTCACAATAACAAACATTTTAAAGTGGCTGGATAGCCATTCATAAAATAATTGAAGTAAAAGGACTCTACAGGGTGCAATATTTTAAGGCACATTACAATTATGATATTAAGAATGAACTACTCTTTCAACTTTAAAAAATCCCTAATACAAAGGTTAGTGGTGAATAATTTTGCTTTACTTACAAAAAAAGAGCAGCACTGAGTCCTAGGGTTTGTGCTGGCCACACGGTTTATTGGGAAAAATAGACGTTTACTGCAACTGTGGACCATCTGGGTAAGACAAAAGTCACTACACATGTGGAGGGAGGACAGTGCTGAACAGCTGCACTGTAAAGGAAGCTAATTTTGTTCTTACTGTATATTACTGATAGGTACAGATTCTGTGGGACTAGCAAGCATATCGAGTGTAAATCAGTTGCGCATGCTGAGCTCAATGTCAACTTAGGTTTTACTCGCACCGCCCCCGTTTCTCACTGCACTGCTTTCCTTCTCCGGAGGGCACTGGGTTCACCCCACCCCCGGGGGCGGAGGAGGGAATCAGGGTGGGCGGCCCCGGCGACCCCTCGGCGCTGCACTCCCGGCGCCGACCGCATTCCAACCCGGCTGCCCCCTCCCACGACGGACAAACGGCCCTACGGATGAATGTGCCCGTTTCAACGCCTCCCGCCCGCCCCCACTTACCGCTGTCTTCCCCCTCCAACGCCCGCTGCAGCCGCGCCGTCTCGCTGTCCAAGGTGACCGCCAGAGACCGCAGCTTGGTACAGAAGCTCCGGATGGGGTCCATGCCGATCACGCCACGCCTAGGCTCCCGCCAGTCGTTTGAATCTCCGGCACCGGAAGCGTCGTAGGTCCCGCGGCTGGCGCAAGTGTCTTTTCTCGGGGGAGCCAAAGTCTCGCGCGAGTTGTCTCACATGGTGGAGGCCCACCCCAGGCAGAGCGAACGCACTTCCGGCGGTGCAACGGACTACGTGCGGAGAGGTGCGGGCTCTTGAGGCGCTGGGCAGGTGAGTGCACTGGCGTTTGCGGCCGCTCGGGCGAGGCGGGTGGGCGCCCACTTCCCCGGAGACGCCGCTCCCCTCGCCGCAGGCGTGTGGCCAGTCCGTTCCCCTTCTCTGTTCGCAACAGGCGCCATGTTCCTGACCGCGCTCCTGCGCCGCAACCGCATCCCGGGCCGGCAGTGGATCGGAAAGCACAGGCGGCCGCGCCCCGTTTCCTTCCACGCGAAGCGGAACATGGTCCGCCGCCTGGAGACGGAGGCGGAGAACCACTACTGGCTGAGCACACCCTTCCTTAGCCCCGCGCAGGAGTTCGGGCACGCCGCGGCCCGAAGGGCGGCCTCCTTCCAGGCCATCAAAGCGGCCAGCGAGGCCAAGTTCCCGCAGCACAGGCTGCTGGTCGACCAGCTCAGCCACCTCAATGTCACCAAGAGGTGGTCCTAACCAGCGGCTGCCGCCGCCTCCTTACGGGAACCAGAACCATTAGAAGAATGTGACTTTTGAAGAGACTTGACTTAGGGTGGTAAACACAATACAATATACAGATGATGTAGAATTGTATAGCTGCAACCTGTGTAATTTTATTAACTAATGTCACCCTAAAGTTCAGTTAAAAAAAAAAAAAAAAAGATCTTTGGACCAGAGTCGTGAGCAGAGCGTTCAGAGGATCGGGATTTTTAAGCTTCAGCTTCCTTTCTGTTGTGTCTTGTTTCTGTATTTTGGGTGAACCTGCGATAAAACTGCGAATGAATGGTTTGAAGTCTGTATGTGACACTCGGTGGGGGTTAGTTTGCTTACCTTCTCTCAAGAATAGTTTCCTAAAGGTAAATGAAAACAAGCTTTGTCAGTCAAACGTTCCTAAAAATAGCATTTTGTTCTGGGATTACCGGCAGTGGACATTTAAATGAAGTATAATGTTTTTATCAGAACTGTTGCATGAAGGTGTATTTTTAAAAACTTTATAGGGATAAAATTAACATACTACACAATTCATCAGTTGTAGATGTTTGCTTTAAATAACTTTTTTCTGAATAAAAATAGTCAAGCACTTCACACATGTCACCAGACACAGTAATCCCACTGAGGCAGGTTAATAAGAAACTAGGAAAATTCCCTGGCAAGTGGAATGAGGAAACTGAGACAAAGGGCTGGAACTGCTGAGCAATTAACAGCCATCTGACAAATAGCAATATTCTATCCTCAACCAAAGATAGCTAAGAGCTGGTGGTTTAAATCACCTTAGGGAGATAAAAAAAAAACTAGAGCCAGACTAATCCAAATTGAGGTGCAACCAACCAAAAAATGACCCTAAACTTAATTATAGTCTCATTTTAATACACCAGCGTACTAAAGGACACTCCCCGAAGTCTAATGAATATTGTTAAGATGCTCCTCTGGAACTGCCCCCAAAATTCCCACCCACAGAAAATAGATGAAACCCTCAGGACAAAGAACACAGGTGTGTGCTCTTTGAGCACACCTGTTCCCCCCTTTCCTCGGGCGTGTACTTTGCTTTTATCCTAAGCTCTATGGGCCCAGGTGAGACCCAGGAAGGGGAGCAATGGGCAGCAGTAGCTGTGCCAGGCTTATCCCCTGGCCCCCTCTTGGGATGGGGCCCTTTCTCTCCCTCACTGGCCCATGCTCTAATAAACTTTCACTTTCACGTGGACTCTGTCTTGAAATTTTTCCTGCATGAATCAAGAACCTGGAGGTCACCTGACACATGAAAGGTGCTGGGTGACATGGAAGGAGCTGGGTAACACTATCACTTGGGACAATTTTACCCGTGAGGAAACATTTGAATAACTCCAAAATTACCCTCTCAGTAATGACAGTGACTTTGATTTGAACTGCTGTATAATCCAGAAATCTTAACTGTTTAATAGAAAATTTTCAAAATGCATAGAACCATACAACATGTGATCCCAAACACCCATTCTAATAAACATTATTTTGCAAAAAAAAACCCAAAAACCAAAAAATATTTCACTGCCTTCTGTGTCCCCCCCACCCATAAACAGAAGTGAACATGAGCCCACACAGGTATACATGAACTTTTAAACCTCTCAGTGGGATCGTACTGTATATGCAGATTTCTGTAATTTTTTAACTTAAAGTCTTTAAGATCTTTCCCATGAAGTTATTCCAATTTTTATGACTATACGATATCTTTTTTAAAAATATAGCTTTATTGATTTCAGAGAGAGAAAAGGAGAGAGAGCTAAAAACATCAATGATGAGAGAGTCATTGATTGGCTGCGCTAGGCAGGCATGTGCCCTGACCAGGAATCGAACCCTAATCGCCTGGACCCTAGGTCGATGCTCAACCGCTGAGCCATGCCCTGCCAGGCTAAAAATGCAAAATCTTTAAGTGGCTTCAGTGTAGTATCAACACAGTAACATAATTTAGCCAACTTCCTATTGATGGACATTGTTTTCCCTTATTTACTGCTTTTTAAAAAGTCTGTCAAGTATAGCACTCCCATTTCAGCCTTTACAACCGCTACTTTAAAGATAAGCAAGAGCAATAAAATTTGGTTAACAATGACCTCTTCTCCTTCTCCTGGCTCTTTGTAAACTTTGTAAAAGGTTTCTACTCATAAAAATTCCAGGTAGTAAATTAATGAACACTTAGCTTTTGTCAGCAGCTTCGCTAGTCCCCCACCTGCCCCCTTAGCCAAATAGAATGTGGTTTTTGCCTTTATATTCTCTCTGAGAAGACTTCGGGGCTGCGAGTCTGTTTAGGGCATGAGCCCCTCGTAGCCGCCGGCTTAATGAATTCCAAACACTCAATTCGGTCTCTGTGAATTAATCTCTCGAAAACTGGGTATAACAAAACAACTAGCCTCACTTTCAGGGAAGAGATTTTTTTCTTTCTGTGTAGGGAAGAACCCAGTTATGTGTTTCTCTCCAGTGCGTCTCCTTTCCTACTCACACGAAACACTTTTACTTAGGGTCACCAAATGTGGAGGTTTTCCCCTCACCAAGCAATTCTTTGCAACACCAGCTGGGTGTCCTACAACTTAATTCTGATGCTATTTCCCTGGACATAGACTCAGTCCCACAAAACTTCCCCACCCTACTTCAGATGCCCCTTGCAAGTAGGAGGTCCCCAGGTTATCCATAACTGCTGTTCAGCTTAGCTACAAGTGGAAGGTTCCCACAACCCTCCTCCTCAGTTGCATTAATTTGCTAGAGCAGCCCACAGAACTCAGTTTATTAAAGGATATGATAAAGGACACATGAACAGCCAGATGAAGAGATGCATAGGGTGAGGTCCGGCAGGGTCCCAAGCACAGGAACTTTAGTCCCCATGGAGTTAGGGGGTCAGCCTGGAAGTTCTCCAGACCCTCTAAGACTGGGATTTTACAGAAGCTTCCTCATGTGGGCAAGTAACTCCATTTCCAGCCCCTCTCCCCTCTCTGGAAGATGAGGGGTAGGTCTGGAAATTCTAAGCCTTTTTAGTCTTTCTGATGACCAGCCCCCATCCAGGAGCCCACTCAGTCACCTCATTAGAACAAAAGATGTTTCTAGTGCTCTTATTTAGGAAATCACAAGGGTCTCAGGAGCTCTGTGCCAGGAACTGGGGGCAGACACACACACACACACATAATTTTTTTTTCTATTATTTTACACCTCATACACACATCTCTGTATGAATTCTTAAGAGGGGTTGCCAGAAAGATTATGCAGTGAAACTTCGATACATATTGCCAAATTACCTCTTTTTTACAGTTAAGCCATTTTAAACTCACCAAAAATTCTTTGCCCACATCCTCAGCAACACTGGTGATTGCCTATCTTGGGCAAAATAATGAAGCTGAGCATCTTTATCCATGCTGTAAGCAATCAGTCTTATTTTTGTTTTGTTCCTTTTTGTTTGTTAATCCTCACCCGAGGATACTTTTCCCATTGATTTTGAAAGAAAGTGGAAGGGAGGGATAGAGGGGAGAGAAAAACATCGATGTGAGAGACACACAGATTGGTCGCCTCCTGAATGCACCCCAACTGGGACCAGGATTGAACCTGCAACCCAAGGATGTGCACTTGATTGGGGCCAATGCTCTAACCACTGAGCACACTGACCAGGGTATCCTATTTCATTTTTAAAATTTATTTTTAATTTTTATTGATTTTTAGAGAGGAAGGGAGACAGAGAAGCATCAATGCCAGAACAAAATATCAACTGCTTCCCGCATGGCCCCCACTGGGGTTCAAGCCCATAACCCAGGCATCTGCCCTGACCAGAAATTGAACCACCAACCTTTTGGTGCATGGGACGATGCCCAATCAAGCCACACCAGTCAGGGAATCTTCTGTGAATTTCTTCTTGTCCTGTCTCCATTTTTTCCTATTAGTGTGTTTTCCTCTTAAATTTTTAGGTACTCAACATCTGTTTTTATGATCACCAGCAGAATGTCTGCTTAGGAATGCTTTTCCTATCCCTTTACTCATCTTTTCCTGCAGTACCTTCCTGCTTTCATTTTCTAATAAAGTCCATGAGTCATCTGGAATTTGTTTTGTTGTGAGAGGCAAACAGTAGAAGCATCTTTACCTTTCCCCAAATGGCTAGCACATTTGTCCAGCATCATGTCAAATAACCTCTTTCCTCCACTGATGTATAGACCATCCAAGGCACAATTTTTCTTTTTTACAAGTAATATATACAGATGGTATAAAATAAAACAGCTAAAGGGGCACACAGTGAACTGTAGCCTTTTACTGACACCTCGTTTCCCTTTGGAGGCAACCCATTAATAATTCCTTGTGTTTCCTTTCAGATATTCTGCATACGAAAATGTAAACATAGGTGGGACATTTAAGTTCTTTCTAGTCTTTCGTTGCCTCAAACACAACTGTAACAAATATAATTACTGCTCAAAGTGCATAAGTAAATCTATAAAACTAAAAGTAGAACCTGATAGGTCAAAGAATGCAGGCATTTGAAAACATGGTATTGTCAAATTGCTCTCCAAAGATACTGCACCATCAATTGATACTTCCATTAAAATGTGTGATAGTTTGACTAATATTTCTCAAGGTTGGGATAATTTTATTGGGTCTGGTGCTCACTTTTCTTTGAGAACTTATGCAGCGCAACAGTTAATAATTATCTAATGGACATTAAATTCACCATTGCAATTCTTTTCTGAACTTCAGTGTTCATTTTGTGAGTAGCAGGTACAAAGAAAAAGTCCTCAATCTATAATCTGCCTGGCCGGTGCAGCTCAGTGGTTGAGCGTTGACCCATGAACCAAGATGTCACTTGTTGGATTCTGGATCAGGGCACATGCCCAGGTTGCGGGCTCGATCCCCGTTAGGGGGCGTGTGGGAGGCAACCGATCAATGATGTTTCACTCTCATGGATGTTTCTATGCATCTATCCCTCTCCCTTCCTCTCTCTCTCAAAGAAATCAATAAAAACATATTAAAAATAAAAATTTATAATCTACTGAGTTGAGCTGCAAGTATTTATAATGAATATATGACTAAATGAAATTAGTACTAGATAGAAGTATAGTACTCCAAGCAGCGCAGAAATGTGAACGTGGCTTGCAGCCGTGGAGTTACGGAAGAGCGCTGCTGGCGTTAGCACGGGCGGGAAGAATCACTGTGTGGGGAACGGGTGAGGAGGCATTCTTGGCTGAGAAACAAGATGCCCTGAATTAAGGAGCAGAACCTCTGTATCAGATGGAAGGCACTGAAGTGTTAAAGAGAATGACAGTAACTCACAAGATCGTTAAATTCACCCATAAACGCTGTTACACAGAAGAAACTAAATGCTAGTTCTCATTTCTAGATTCTGGGGCAAGCGAGTGAGCAACAAGCACAGGAGGCCAACATCACTCAGCTTTCCCAGAGTGGTTCCAAAATGCTAGCTTACATGAAAGGAGGAAAGTAAGGCGGAGGTGATGTCGTTAGTTTTACTCTTTAAAGAGTCAAAACTTGGGCATTCAGTTGTTAATCCTTCCTACGCCAAACAGTGTTGAATTAGCACCCTCCCCTCTCCCAAAGATCGCTTCCTCTCCACTGGCCTCTGCCCCTTCCTGGGAAGCAGCTCTCTCTCTCTCAGATCCTTTTTTCATTCAGCAGCCTCAACTATTAACCTGTCCCTTTGGAGGGGAACTGGAACACAAATGCCACAAAAGAATTCTACATAAAATAAAATTTATTATTCAGAATTTTGATAACCACAATTCAACAATTTCTAGTGTTTTGCAAGTACTTATGATCCAAAAATTACTTCTGAATTGAAAATTATGTTCAGTAAAAGCTAAGTTAAAACCTTTTTGAATAAAGCAATCTATACCTCTGGTCTAGGTAAACTATAATATTGTTACAGTCAAATAACACTGTCTTAGATGTGGTTACCCCAAATTATTAGCCAAATCTCTAACTAAACACTATTTTACCAGATTTATGACCAAAATAATAGTTACTCTCATTTGGTAAATACCACTTTATAACAACAACAAACTTCAAATACAGGACATTATTTTTATTTCTTTATTAATAAAGTTATGATTTTTGAAAAAAGTTTAAAACGTTCAGCCTTCATGTCAATGTAGTTAGGCTATCCAAAAGAAAAAGCAAAGAATTAACATTAGTCATGGTCCAAGGTTATATTTATGAGAAACAAATACAAGACTTATGGGTCTCAGTAAGTAAAGACAACCAAAGTAAACTGTATTTCAAATCTGTTTAAATAAGATTAAAGATCACTTTAAAATAGTGTCCATCTTTTCTTTTAAATGGGCATAGACTCCTCTGCAATCATGTACAAATATAATAAACTTGAATAATGGCTTTTTCAAGCTTTTAATATAAATACAAATCCTTGCTGCTTTATGCAACCCAACAGGATAATACAAAGTGAACTTGTTAGAAAAATATGGACCTTTCTGAATCTATATAGCATTTTAAATTCAAATTGGAAAATATAGTTCAGATTACATGAAACACAGGGATTTCAGGTTTACATATTACCTGTATCTTACGTATTATTACATCTGGTCTTTATGTTGGCTGAAATGCAAAAATATGATTAATTTCTTAATAACAGATTAAAAGTATTTTCCAATGATAACAGTGCTAGTCCTAGAAGAAAATGTAAGCTAAACATATTTGTCACTGTCTACACAGTGCCTCAAATATGCAAATCCTATATACATTTGCTTTAAAGTTTACTGAATGGAAATCTCACATGTCTGATAATCTTGAATTTAATCACTCCTATAAACAAAGTCAAAATCTGCTTTCTAATAGAAATAAAATTCAAGTAAACACTGCATATTTGATTTAATCTTACAAAGTAACTTATGACACATTGAATCATAACCATTAAATATGTAAAAAGATTTTTTAAATCACCCATATGTAAAGATGAAACTAAACTCTGTAAACGTGTCCCTGTTTAATAACTACTCTACTGCAGCTGCTCTTTGGTTTGGCAAAGTGATACTGGGCAGATGACTCAGGGACTATATATTCAAGTAAGTTTGTACCCAGGTAAAATCAAGTCTCCTGTCCACATTATTTTTTTTTTAATGGCAATGGCAAGACCTGAAATTCAATATAATTTTGTTCAAGTGTTTGAAGGACCAAAGACAGTACTAATAAATTTTCACAGGGCTTCATTTTGACCTTTGCCCCCAAAGACTGACAGCATTAATCAATACCAGTTGAAATACCAAAGAGGCAGCCATTCCCTGATTCCCACACCACACCAGTAGGCCCTGATGAAGGGTTGTTAATGTGTATGAATAAACTTAGCCACCAAATATTATTCAGAATGTGGCAAAATATTGGCCATGAATTAAACCAAAGGTAATTAAAAGGCTTTAAATGAAAATTTCTGAAAAGGTGTTTACTATGCTACTAAAGACTATGTTAAATAAAAGAACTTAAAAGAACTGAGAGAGATTACAACACCACAAAAGTGCCTGAATAGGTTAAGGGGGAAAATTGTGCCCTCACTTGTTAATTAGGTGCATGCAAATCCTGATCTAATATTCATAAACAGTACCAGATCATTTCTGAAAGTGTTAAGTTTAAAACATTTACTATTTCCTTATGATATACAAATTGCCAAAATGAATAATGGTTTTGGTTGGTAACTGATATCACTCACTTAATCTACTTAAAAATTTTCTAAAATCAAGATTATTAATACTACAAAGTTGAAATAAAGGTAGAAGATCCATATTATAGTATTCCAAACTATATTTTCAAAGCTAACGCATTCCTTTGGTTCGAAGTGGAAACAAAGTTACTTCCTTTTAAAATCTAATATTAGTATTAGCCAATGTAATTAGACAAATCCTATATATTATAAACCTGAAATAGTTTACTATAAAACTTATGTGAAAAAAATAAAATAATAAAATGTAAGTGACATTAGGAAATTATAGAGCTATCCCTAGTTTACTGTTTGACATATGGAAGGTACTCCAAAAATATTTGTTGGATGAATGAAAAGATTATTTTGCAAAATCAGAAACTGAAGAATGTTAGAGGTTATCCAGTCCAACTCATTGGTAATACCCCCTCCTCTCAATCCCATGTTACAGGTAAGAGAACTATAACCCTAGATAATTATAGATGCTGGTTAAGATTTATCTCTGTCCATGACTGTAAGCAATCAATTATTTTGGTTTGTGTGCATATATCTGACTGAACAGTATAAACAGGGATAAACATTTCTACATTGTTTCTCCTTTAACAGATATTGTATTTTTCTTTATAATTAATGCAACAATTCTTGCCACTTAGACTGGATTTCAAAAGGAAAAGAGGATATGTGTCTAGGCAGAAAGATGTTCTGTTAGGTCAGATTTAGTATTTTGCATTTAAGAGTGGAATCCACCTCTCAAGAGACTGAAAGTTTTAAATGACTATTCAGCTTAAAATTTCTTTCCTGAGGGCAGTCTTATGCTAAACAGTTTCACCCTAGTTCAAACTGCATTGTAAGCAACAGTTTAAACTGTTATAGGATTACTGTAAAAAGTTTCAATGTAATTTTTCATCATTACCTAAATTGAAATTTGAAAGTCAATTTAATAGCATGTTGCATTCTACATACTTTAGAACTGAAAATATTTTTAACAACTTACAACAGCCTGCCTATCTTTCTCTTTACTTTTCTTCTAGCCACTTCTACCTATTCCTACTTTGTCCAATATTTCTAAGTGCTTCTGTGGTTTCCTGCATGTATACTAATAAAAATTCAACAAGAAAGTAAATATAACTCAGAGAGAAACAAAAATATTTCTTATACTGCCAAGTTTCCTTTAAACCTTGGGCACAACACTATACAATATTGTTGTATTAATGCTTAGAACTACGCCTTCAATGAATTATACAAATGTGCTCTATGTTTTAAATCATTATATTTAGATATCTTAATCCCTCTGAGTGTTATTGTATAGCCAACAATAAAAAAAATCTTTATTAAAAATGTTGAAAAGTATAAAACAGTAATTATAAATGATCAAACATCCAATTTTTAAAAAGCAGTTATTTTCTCTTCCTTACATAGTACAAGCAACAGTAATTTGGATATTATTATTCAGTTTCCGCCACCATACTGGCCTAGATATACTTCACTTAAGAGAAGTTTTTAGCTTCTGTTTCTAGAGTGATAATTCATATGGACACTAGGAAACAACTCTGATAATGTAACTCAGGTATCAAAAAATACATATGCCATGTTAACATGTGATCTGACATATTATAGCATCTTATAACAGGTAAGCGTTATTTGCAAAGTAAAAGTAAGTCACATTTGTAGCTGTAAGTCAATGCTGGACTTATTTAAGATTAAGGCAGCTTCCTGCTCTGCAGTAGCGCTTCTGTGGTTCCAGCGATCTGTACAAAGGTGTCCTTTTTGAAAAAATATATCTTGTTATAGTTCAATTATTTCATCCCATTGATGATTTTCTTGCAAATAATACTGAAAATATCAGTCCATAATATGTTTTTAGAAACCTATAAAACCAGAAACAATTGTGTTATTAGTTAAAACTTGATTTTTTGTATTTCCGAAAACAAGATTTATTAAATGGTTCTGTGGGTTAAAGTATAAAGCTACTAATATAACAAGATAGGAAAGAAATACTTTAATACTACTATACTGTAATAATAATGACTTTTATAAGAAGTAAATAAGGGATATCACTTTCTTCCTCTGAAGCATCAAGAAAACATTTTAAAACAGGCAGAGCCCTAGTTGGTTTGGCTCAGTGGTAGAGCGCTGGCCTGCGGCCTGAAGGGTCTTGGGTTTGATTCCAGCCAAGGGCATGTACCTCAGTTGCAGGCTCAATCCCTGGCCCTGGTTGGGGGCCTGCTGGAGGCAACCAATCAATGTCTCTCTCTCTCTCTCTCTCTCTCTCTCTCCTTCTTCTTCTTCTACTCTCTCTGAAAAGTAATGGAAAAATTATCCTCAGGTGAAGATTAAATATATATCTATATATATATAAAATAGGCAGATTCTCATGGTTCTCCCTTACTGTTAACTTGGACATAATCTGAAGAGACATTTTATCCACACCTTTCTAAGACTGTTGTGGGATATAGGGCAGACTCACAGCAATAGTTCTAGGAACTTCAGCTGGGGATTCTCAACCACCATAAGTGGCAGCCACTATTCTGCCTATAGTAAGAAGAAACAAAGCCAGGACTGAGGCACAACTGCTATACTGCAGTTCTCAGTGGCACTGACCAGGACTGTGACTACCATAAGTGCTCCTGCTGTTCATCTTCAGAGTCCAGCTTCTACACCTGACGTGAGCCTGGCCTGAGTGCCTGTGTTCTGATTCTGTCTGGGTCTCAGGCTCTGGCGTAACTCTGGACCAGGGCTCTAGGTCCTTGGCACAGAACTGAATGCTCACAACAAATGCCATGCAAGGAAGCAGAGGCTTCCCTAAGGCTGCAAATGACAACCCTTTTAAAAAAACTAGCCTGAGACAACAGGGACTACAGTAATGAATGTGTTGTCTAAAGCTGTTAGGTTTGTGGGCATTCATTACAGAGCAGTAGGTAACTAAAACACTCTAAGTAGGTTTGTCAAAAATTGAACACCTTCACAAGACATTACTGAGCACTGAGCTCAGATGCTGATTGACTGCAGACAGCTGTTATCCTTAATTTTAGTGTGAGAGACTTCACTACATCCCTGTAGTTCAACTTAAGGTTAGCCATTACCCTCAGGGCTCAGACTGCTGATCCACCAGGACTGTCTTCTGTGGCTCCTGTTTCTGGACACACGGTAACGAATACCTCATCCATGTACTTGCCTACAGTAAATTGCTTGTTCTTTTACAAAGTAAATAACATCAACGAACCTCTTAAGTATTTTTTTCAGCCTTTAATGTTAGTCACTCTTCTCTGGATCAAATTTCAATAGTGGGCAAAAGTCACCTTTTTTTTCATAAATTAATAAATAAGGCGCAGTTAACTAAAAAGGTCAGCTGCCCATATACCAATGCTAAACAATTTTTACTAGTTTCTTCACTAACCTACCAATAAATATTTACTAAAATTGTGCTAGGACTGTAAGGAAAATGGGATTTAAGCAGATATCTTCCAACCTCTCCTGAACTACCTAATTTTGCTGATATAATTGAAAGAGTAGAAAACAGAATGGCAAATTGTTTTGAGATCATGAAATATTCAAATAAACGGTATTTGTTCAAGGAAATTACCTTTGTATGGTCTTACCTTGTTCTGATTCAATTGGTTGGTTATGAACAAGTGGTACTCAGTTTTTTATTGTCACTGTAGCATGGTTATTTGTCCCTGTAAGGACATAATTATATATGATGTGACAAAAAATGACCTAAGTTGCTGGCTAAATAGCAAAATTGATGATTAAAGTAAAAGCAACTCTTATGTAAGCACCAAATAGGTATAATGGTGCCAACCATTTGTCTTCTTGTAGCATCTGGAAGTAAAGCAGTGCTAAGAACTGAAAGTCTAGTTTTATGCTTATTTCTGTGAAACTGTCCATTGGCTTTAAAGATGTTCAGCAGCAGTAACTAAGAAGTCTACAAAATTAATCTTTCCCTTGATCTTACACAAGGGATCTAATGATCCGAGTGATACCAATTTTAGAGAATGATTTAAATGCTGTGAAAATCCAAAACGACAAAAAAAATCAGAAAATCTGACGAGTTTTGAAGTTTCAGGGTATTTCTTAGAGTTAGTACAAATTCCTATGAATGTCCAAACTATTTTTCTACAGTGCAAGAACATAATGACAATGTTATTACTATTATTATTAAAAACCACCACAGATATATTCTAGGCTATAACACTAGTAAATGGCCAGATTATATATATTATAGACCCAGGCCTGATTTAAAAGTCCGCATCTATCTTATCATGTCAACTGTTCTATAATACATCCATGATTGATGAAGTGATTAACTCATCAAGAAAAGGTTAAAGTACATTCAAGTAAAATCATTTCATAATAAGGCATCAAGGAGTATAACGCTTTTTGAAAAGTTATTTTCAAATAAACAAAAGCTAGGACCCTAAAGAATAATCTTATTTAAGTAGTTTCAGGCATACAACCCCATGATTAGACATTTATATAACTTATGAAGTGATCCCCCTGATAAACCTAGTACCCACCTGACAGCACAGTTACTGCAGTATCACCGACTGTATCCCCGTGACTACTCTGTAACCACCAACTGCACTTCTTAATCCTCCACTTTCAACCATCCTGTCTGGGAACCTTCAAAGTATTCTGTTATCTACTAGTCTGCTTCTGTTCCTGTTCTGCTTGTTTACTTTGTTTTTCAGATTCCACACATAAATGAACTCTTATGGCACTTGTATTTCTCTGACCTATTTCACTCAGCACAATTCCCCCAGGTCTCTCTATGTTGCCACAATGGCAGAATTTCATTCTTTGGGATGGCTGTCATATTCCATTGTATATATGCGCCACTCCTTTATGCTTTAATATATCTTTATTGTTGAAAGTATTACAAATGTCCCCCTTTACCCCCATTGATCCCCTCCACCCTGTACCGCCCCCCCCCAAGGCCTTCCCCACACTATTGTCTGTGTCCATGGGTTATGCACATATGTGTATAAGTTCTTAGGTTAATCTCTCCTCACCCCCCCCGCCCTTCCCTTTGAGATTCCTGTCTGTTCCACATTTCTATGTCTCAGGATCTATTTTGTTCATCAATTTATTTTGTTCATTAGATTCCACGTATGAGTGAGATCATGTGATACTTGTCTTCCTCTGACTGCCTTATTTCACTTAGCATAATACTCTCCAGGTCCCACCATGCTGTCCCAAGAGGAAAGGGGTCCTTTGTTTTTATAGCTGCATAGTATTCAAAGGTGTAAATGTCCAAGAAGATGCTTCATATGATTTCAATCATCTTGAACTTGTAAAGACTTGTTTTATGTCCTAAAATATGGTCTATCTTTGAGAATGTCCCATGTGCACTTGAAGAGAATGCTTATTCTCTAGCTATGGGGCGAAATGTTCTGTAAATGTCAAATCCATCTGATCAAGTGTGTTATTTAGAATCACTGTTTCCTTGTTGATTTCTGTCTAGAAGATCTATCCAGTAAAGTCAGTGGGGTGTTAAAGTCCCCTACTATGACTATATTGCTGTCAATCTCTCCTTTAAAGTCCCCCAGAAGTTTTTTTATTATTTTTTAAAATTTCCAGCATGTGTGTCTTTTGTTCTGAGGTGGGTCTCTAGTAGACAGCATGTATTTGGATTGTGTTTTCTTATCCATTCAGCTACTCTATGTCTTTTGATTGGAGCATTTAATCCACTTATATTTAAGGTTATTATCGATAGGTACTTATTTATTGCCATTTTATGCCTATGTTTCTCTGACAGTCTTAAGGGAGCTCCCTTGTAGGTCTCTAATGGCTTGTTTCTTTGTTTTATTTATTTTTTTATGTTTTATTGATTTTAGAGAGAAGAAGGGAGAGGGAGAGGGAGAGAGAAACATCAATGGTGAGAGAGTCATTGATCAGCTGCCTCCTAAACACCCCCTACTGGTAACAGGGCCTGCAACCCAGGCATGTGCCCTGACTGGGAATCGAACGATGATCTCCTGCTTTGTAGGTTGATATTCAACCACTGAGCCACACCAGCTGGGCTCTTGCTGCTTTTAACATTCTCTGTCTTTCACATTTTAATTATGATGTAATTATGTGTGGGCCTCTTTGGGTTTATCTTGTTTGGGACACTGTGCTTCCTGGACTTGTATGTCTATTTCCTTTACCAGGTTAGGAAAGTTTTCCATCATTACTACTTCAAACAGATTTTCAATTTTCCTTGCTTTCTTTCTTCTCCTTCTGGCACCACAATGATGGAATGTTGGTATGCTTGAAGCTGTCCCAGAGGTTCCTTACACTATCCTCTTTTTGAATTCTTCTTTCTTTTTGCAGTTCTGAATGCATATTTTCTGCTTCCTTATCTTCCAAATTGCTGATTTGACCCTCTGCTTCATCTACTCTCCTGCTGATTCCCTGTAATTCATTCTTCATTTCAATTACTGTATTCTTCACTTTTAACTGCCTCTTTTTTATAATTCCCATGTCCTTTTTCATGCTGTTGAAGTTCTCGCTAAATCCTTAAAGTTCTCACTAAGCTCCTTGAGCATCCTTATAATCACTGTTTTGAACTCTGTATCTGGTAGATTGCCTCCATTTCATTTAGTTCTTTTTCTGGAGATTTCTCCTGTTCTTTTATTTGGGATCTGTTTCTTTGTCTCATTTTAACTGCTTCCCTGTGTTTGTTTCTATGTATTAGGTAGAGCTGCTAAGTTCTGGACTTGATAGAGTGGCCTATGTAGTATGTATTCTGTAGGGCCCAGTGGTACAGCCTCCCCAGTCACTTGAGCTGGGGACTCCAGGTGTGCTCCCCTGTGTAGGCTGTGTGCACTGTCCTGTTATAATTGAGTCTTGATTGCTGTTGGCAAGTCACTGGGAAGGACTGATCCCCAGGCTGATCAGCTGCAAGGACCAGCTGCAAGCACTGGCTTTGACTAAACTGGAGAAGCTGCTGTGCAGAGGCACAGAGCACGACTTGATCCCATAGGGCAGGAATTGCTTCAGTGGGGCTTTGGTGCCTGCCAACTCTACCACTTGAGTGTGTTGCTTATAGAGGTGGTTGGGTTGTAATCCAGGGTGGTCTGGTGCTGCTGTCCACTGGGTGTACTAGCTCTGGGTCTCCTGAGAGGTGTAAGGTCAGCCACTACCTGTGCCCTGCCCAGGGTCACTGAGCATGAGCTACAGAGCAATCTGTAGTTGACTGCTACTTGTGCTTACTTGGAGGCATCCAGGAGAAGCCAAGCTGCAACCGAGGCTGGCTGCCACTAATGCCAGGCCTGGAGCCACTTAGCAAGAAGTATGGGATAAGCAAAGGCCAGATGCTGCTTGTTTGAGTGATTTTAGGAAAGTTTGAAGCATGAGCCAGAATAGGCTACTTATATGGAAAAGCCACTGGAAAGGGCTTGGGTGGGCCTGCAAATGGGGAAGGAGGTGGGGGGTCTAAGGGAATCACCAGGGTGAGGCCAACCGTGTTAGCCAGGTTTTTGTGACTCAGCAATGGTGTCCGCCTGGGGGCTCCAGGGGGTGGGGCTCAGAAAAGGAACAATGGCCTCTGCTAGCAGTTCTGTCTGGGAGAAAGCTGCCCATCCAACCTTCACCCTGAAGTCAGACAATTCAGTCCCTCCCTGTGTGTCCACATATGTCACCTTTCGAGTTGCTGCCCCTGCACTGGAGCTCAGAGGGTGAATTTGAGTAAGTCAGTCCTCTAAGAGGAACATCTGGAACACTAGGAGCCCTCAGTCTCACTCAGCCACAATTCCCACTATTTTTCACAGCTAGAAGTTATGGGGACTGCGCCTCCTGGCACGGGAGCTCTGGGCTGGGGTTCTGATGTGGGGCTGGGACTGTCACTCCTTAGGAGGGACCTCTGCAGCTGATATATCCCTCCCAATGTTTTGTTTTGTTCTGTTTTTTTAATCCTCACCTAAGGATATTTTTTCCATTGCTTTTCAGAGAGAGTGGAAGGGAGGGAGGGAGGGGGAGTGAAGAAGGGGGAGAGAGAGAGAAACATTGATGTGGGAGAGACACATCAATTGGTTGCCTCCATATGAGCCCTGACCACAGCTGGGGATCGAGCCTACAACCGAGGTACATGGCCTTGCCTGGAACTGAACCTGGGACCCTTCAGTGTGTAGGCTGATGCTCTAGCCACTGAGCCAAACTGGCTAGGGCCCTCCCAATTTTTAACTGCCATCTGTGGGTTGGGACCAGCCCATTCTGCATCACGACCCTTCCTACCAGTCTTGATGTGGCTACTTCTGTATATTCCTAGTTGTAGGACTTCTGTTCAGCTAGATTTCAAGTGGTTGTGAATGATAGTTGTTTTGTATTTTAGTTGTAATTTTGATGTGGTTGTGGGAGATTCTGAGTACTACATTTACCTGTGCGGCCATCTTGACCAGAACTTACCTTGCTTAAGTTTTATTCAGATATTATACCAAAAGAACTTTCTATGTCTGAGACAAAGACAGACATGGCTGGGTAACAAAAAACCACCCCCAACACAACCCATCTGTGAACAGAGTAAGACACAGCAGCAGCCACTACACTTCCTCACTCAACCCGCTTCTTCATAAAATCTACCAATAAACACTAACATCCCATATGTGTGTGTGTGTGTGTATGTGTGTGTGTATATATATATATGATATTTTATTTAATAGTTTCACCTTTTTAGTATTTTAAAAATCACATTATTTTGATTTTTATACATTAATTCAATCTAGTAAGTTTCATTTTAACCAAATGAAGCAATGTTTTCAGATGCCAATTATTACCTGATCTGACAGTGCCCTCTTCAGATCCATTCTCTGTCCATTGAGATTCACTGTCCAGCAATCGGTTTTTTGATTCACTAAGTGGTTTGATAGGAAAAGGTTGATTTGAGCCAATACTGAAAAGAAGAGCAAATAGTTTAGTAAACAGTTTAATGCTCAATAAAGAATACTTAATTAATAAGCAGCAAATTAATATTCCTTTTCCTAAACATGTGAGAGCAAATCATAAGAGCTCAGTACTCTGAAAAAAACTTAAAGGAAAACATGCCCCAACCTCTCATTAAATGGCTCCCTAGACCCAAGAATCTGTACTCCAAATTGCCAATGAAAACAATTAGGCAAAAGAAAATAGCTTCGGAGGCCAGCCTGAAACATTTTGAATATATGTTAATCAATAGCCATAAAGTAGCATAAGGACAGGTGACGATCCGTATCTGTGGCCAGGACAAAAAAATTACCTGTCATATCTCAAGGTTTCTGCTTTCTACCTCTGCAGTTTAGATCTAGGGGAGAAAATGATTAAGTGATTTAGTGTAGACTTATTTTTCTAGCTAACAGATCAGGGAGGGAGGGAACTGGGGAATGATAAAGAAAAAGGAAAAGGGCACTAATATTTGTTGTGTACCTACTATGGGCTAGACACCTGTGCTAGGTGCAGATACACACATTATTTCAACCTTTGCAAAAAACTTTGGAGGTAGGTATATAGCTGGAAATTGAGGCTTAGATAGTTTAAGTGATTTGTTTAGACCCATAATAAATGCTGGAGCTCTAAGGTCTTAGCTAAGACCTCAGGTTCTAAGGCCTACATGCTTCTGACACTAATATGCAAATTTGTAAAAAATAATTTCTTCTCCCCCACAATTAATTCTATAGTAAGTTCCAAATGTTTCACTTTGACAGAAATATTTCTCTCTTTTTTTTAAAAAAATTGATTTTAGCCCAGCCAGGCATGGCTCAGAGGTTGAGCGTCAACTCAGGATCCAGGCGATCGGGGTTCGATTCCTGGTCAGGGCACCTGCCCAGGTTGCAGGCTGCAGCCAATCAATGACTCTCATCATTGATGTTTCTCTCTCTCTCTCTCCATCTCCTTTCCTCTCTCTGAAATCAATAAAGATATATTAAAAAATAAATAAAATTATTAAAAAATAAATAAATTAAAAAAAAAATTGATTTTAGAGAGAGAGAAGAAGGGAAAGAGGGAGGGAGAGAGAGAAATATCGATTTGTTGTCCCACTTATTTATGCATTCATTGGTTGCATCTTGTATGTACCCAGACCAGAGATCAAACCCACAACCTTGGCTATCATGATGACGTTCTATACAACTGAGCTACCCAGCCAGGGACAGAAGTATTTCCATTTTCTTTAAAATTTAATCTAAAGTGAATTACTCTGAATGTATGAGTCAGTTTGCTTGCCATGCAAATACTGAGAAAATATCCTGTATTATGAATGAATAAGAGAAAATTTTATATTTGTATTTTTGAATTCTCAATATTATTTTCATACTACAGGTTAAAATCTGTTTATCAAAATAAAATGGTGAATAGCCTGCTGGTGTGGCTCAGTGGGTGAGTGTCAACCCATGCACCAAAAGGTCGCTGGTTTGATCCCCAGTAGGAGGTGTGCAGGAGGCAGCTGATAGATTCTTCTCTCATTGATATTTCTATCTCTTTCCTTCCTCTCTCTCTAAAAATCAACAAAAATGTATCTTAAAAAAATGAAATGGTCAATAAAATGACTAATTTCATTGGAAAAACACACACAAACTTACATAAACCAATTTAATCAAATCTCAAAAGAATGTCTTAGTTTCTAGGAAAATGCAGTGTATTTAGGGCAGCCTTGCTTCCTAGTTTGCCCAGGCATTTCCAGTTTTATGTGATTGTTCTGATTCAGCTAGTAAGAACAAGCATCTTTCTTACTTTGAAAAATATTCTGGCTTGGATGATAAAATGTATGGTTATCCTAAGCATATTAAGAACATATGCTTATTATCTAAGCATATATATTATATAACAATATAATATATAAGTAGATATATATTATTAACCCTCAGTTAAAAAAAATTTAGCCCTGGCTGGTGTGCCTCAGTTGGTTGGAGTGTCATCCGTACACTGAAAGGTTGAGGGTTCAATTCCTGGTTAGGGCCCATATTCAGGTTGTGGGTTCACCCCTCCTGGGGTGAGTACAGGAGGCCACTCCTCTCTTTCTCCCCCCAAACCAATAAAAACATATCCTCAGGTGAGGATTAAAAAAATAATGATTTTTTAAAATATTTAAATAATTTAAATTAGAAATAGAATTTCTTTTTTGCTATGCATGTTGGCTTACTAAATTACTACTGCATTTATCTATAAGATATGTATGTATCACACATATATTTATAGTTTTTTTTATAATGAATACTGAAAAACTTAATGACAAGAAGCACACCTTCTGGCATATTCATTTTGGTTTGTAACAGAAGCTTGTTCTGGATCCATTCCCACAAGGCGAGTTGGAAAACTGCAACCATCACCCAAACTGCATAATAAAACATATCAGTAATAATTTAAATCATATTAAGTTAAATCAACATTGTCAAATTTAACTCCCATTTTTCAAACATGGTATAAGGAAATTACCATAACTTGTCATTTCAAAGAAAAGTTCCTAAGATTTCTAATTAAAAGGGTGATTAGCCTTCATGGGGGAAAAAACACCTTTTTCTTTGATAATTTACACAGATCTAAAAAGAGTAACTTCTTCTATAATACTTTATGCCAACTATACTTTAATTAAAAAAATTATCTTCCATGACTATTAAGATTATGATGCCTGTGAAGATTAGGATACCTCAAAAACAAGTATTCAAATATCTGGGTAACTGATCTGATCCTCACAATCATTTAAGACATCATACAGGCTCACACTGAAATTGAAAATGTAAGTTCCACACATATTCATTTGACAACATTAATTAAACAAATATTTATTGAATGCTTATTATATTCCAGGTACTATATTAAGTCCTAAGGACCTGGCAGTTAACAAGAGAAAAGGAAATCTCTGCCCTCAAAACGTTTATAATCTAAAAAGTATAGATATGCTTACTTTCATAGTCTAAAAACATCAAAGTTGTGTACAACAGGAACTTTCACTTCCAGCCAAGATGGATTAACTGAGAAATCTGATCTTTAGTATCAACCAGAAAACTGAACAGTATACACAATACTGTTTTCAAAACAGCACAGACCTGTGGTTTGTGAAAGAAGAGAACTGACCAAGTGAGTTCTAGCCTTTGCCAGGACAGGAGGGGACAAAGAGCAAGGTGGTCTCACTGAACGGAGGTGACAGATATACGAATTTCTAGAAGTTAAGGCAGCTTGAATCTATCAGAGAGAACTGAGGAAGAGGGAGATATACAGAAGCTGAAGCACGAGAAGCTGGAACAACAAATTCAACATTCTTTAAAGGGGTACAAAATTTAAACACTCAGAATTCAAAATGTGCACCATCCAATAAAAAATTACTAGTGCATGCCCCAGCTGGTTTTGCTCAGTGGTTAGAGCGTCGGCCCATGTACTGAAGGGTCTTGGGTTCAGTTTTGGTCAAGGGCATGTACCTCAGTTGTAGGCTCAATCCCTGGCCCTGGTCAGAGAAGGTGTGGGAGGCAACAAATTGATGTGCCTCTCTCACATCGATGTTTCTCTCTCCCCTCCCCCCCCTTCTACTCTCTCAAAAGCAATGTAAAAAACATCCAAGTAGCAGGAAAATGTGACACACGATTGACAAAAAAAGTCAACAGGAAAGAATTAGAAACAAGGACTCTAAAATAGTGATTATATGCCCAGCAGGCGTGGCTCACTCGTGGACCTATGATCCAGGAGATAGAGGTTCAATTCCACGTCAGGGCATGTGCTCAGGTTTCAGGCTCAATTCCCAGTAGGGGGGCGTGCAGGAGGCAGCCGACCAATGACTATCTTATCATTGATGTTTCTATCTCTCTCTCTCCCTTCCTCTCTCTGAAATCAATAAAGATATATTTAAAAAAAATAGTGATTATAAATGTCTCCGAATTAACTTGAAAAAGTAGATACAATGAAAAGAGAAATGTAAGATATAAAAAGACCCAAATTGAAATTCTAGAGCTGAAAAATATAATATCTGAAATGAAAAATTAACTAGATTAGCTTAACAGTTGAGTAGACATTACAGAAGAAAAGATCATGAGCTTATAAACACAGCAATAGGAACTATCCAAACTAAAGCAAAGAAAAAAGATGGGAGAGGGAAACAGAGGGAGGGACAGAATAGCAATGACCTGTGAGTCAAAATCAAACAATTTAACCTATGTATATTTATCACTACCAGTATCTGAAAAGGTAGTGGGGGGAGAGCATGGAAGAGGAGGGCTAAGCAGCAAAAAAAACTGAAGACATATGATGAAAATTATTTAAATCTGATGAATACTGTAAAGTCAGATGTAAGAAGCCTAATGAATTCTAGAGAGGATAAACACAAAGAAAACCATCCCAAGGAACATTATCATCAAACTACCTAAAACCAGTGAGAAAGAGAAAATCTTCAAAGTAGCCAGAGGAAAATTTACAAACAGTGCAATAAAGAGGAGTGGGACTCATTTTTTTGTCACAAGCCAGAAGATAATGAAACTACATTTTTAACTTTTTTTTTTTTTTTTTTTTTT